CCTTCCCTCTGCATTCATTATCTTTGTAAATGCATTATTTAACGATCCAAAGCAGGCAGGACTCAGTCAGTGTGAAAGACACTACACAACATAAAGCCGTGATGAATTATCTAGTCATCGCTCAGGACTGAGGTTGGAATTTTCTTGGGTACAGTTTCACTGGGCTGGAGCGAGTGAGCGGTGTCGTTTTTAAACACCGACTTGTCCGCTTCCCAAGAAGCGGAAGCCATTTTCCAAACAAGTTCCTTAAAAGCCTGATGGACTAGTGCAGGGGTGGGCACTTATTTGGGCTGAAGGACCACTTAGCGGGGTTTGGTGAGCTGTTGTGGGCCAGGTCAGCACCCCCCTTGCCCTGCAACAGCTCACCAAAACTTCTTAAGTGGCTCTGCCCTGTCCACCCATCCCGCTCCCTGATGCTGCTCCCCGCCTGTCTGTGGTCCCATCTCATCCACCTGGCTAAGTACACCCAACCCACGGCATCCTGGGCCAGTCTCCATGGAGACTCTGCCCAGCTACTCGATCTGATGCTGCCAGCGGTGGGTGCGGGGTGGACAGGCAGAGGTGCCTGGAGGTAGCAGCAGAGACTGGCAGCAGCAGCTGGAAGGAGCTGCCACTGCAGGGGCTGCCAAGAATTGAGTCCGGACACTGTGCCATTCCAGCCCCGCTGCGCACCTGGGACAGCAGGACCAGCTTCATGTGTCACCAGCTCAGGCTGCTCCCTGTACCTGGGCCAGGTGGAGCCGAAGGACCTGCCATGGGCCAGATAAGAATCCCTTGGTGGGCCAAATATGTATCATGCATTTTGTCTATATAGATCGTAAGGGCTTTGGGGCAGAGAGATGCTTCTCATTATGTATTTGTGCAGCAACATACTTCTGGACATTAAAATCATGCAAATAATAACAGTCACCTTATAAACCTTTGCAATAGAGAAGACCAAACCAGCCAAACAGAGGTGGTCAAACTGGGGAGGCAGGGAGCACGTGTAGTCTGTGAAGCTCTACTTGGGGGCTGACTGAACAAGTATCTCCTGCAGAGTGAACTTACTGGCTGCTGTTTTGCATTGTGAGCCACTAGAGGACTGGCGATTCACAAGCCGCAGATTAGGGGCCTTTAAACTAGCTAGGCCAGGGGCAGGAAAAATACAGCCCACAGACCAGATCTAGACTGCCAACTGATGGGATCCAGCCTGTGGCTGCCCCCGTGGTGCTCTGCATGGGGCCTAGACCCACCCACTCCCACCAGGGCAGCACACACCATACTCCAGCCTGTGCCTGCTGGCCTGAGCCCCAACCAGCGTGTGCAGCTTTCAGCGGGGCTGTTTCCATGTTCCCCTCACCTCCAGCAAGAGCTACCTAGCTGAAGCTTCCCTTCAACCCATAGTGGTGCAACAGGTGCAGGAATGGGAAGAGAAGCTACTGCTGGAGGCGAGGGGACCCAGGTAGCCCCTGGCTGGCTGCAGCCACATTGGAAACAGCCCTGCTGGAAGCTGCATGCACTGGCAGAGGCCTGGGCCAGCAGAGCTGATCTGCTCCCATTGCCTCCAATGGAGGCTCCTCCTTCTGGTCCATTCACTGCTGAACTATTCCGGGTGGCTGGGGAGGAAAGCTTCAGCTGGGTGACTCCTGCTTCAGTGTGTGGGGCTCTAGCTCCAGCTCCAGCTCCAGCTCCGGGCTACCTTCTACTCACTCCACCCACCTGGCACCATGAGCAGCCATGTGCAAGTACAGAAACCTATGCAGCTGAGTGGGTGGAAGGCAGCTGGGTGCTAGAGCCAGAGCCCCATGAGCTAAGGCAGAAGCTGCCTGGCTGAAGCTTCCCCCACCCACCAGGAGTGGTGCAGCAGGGACAGGACCAGAAGGAGAAGCCTCTATTGTGGAGCAATAGGGGTAGAATAGCTCTGTTGGCCCAGGTCCCAGCCAGTGCATGCAGCTTCTAGTGGAGCAGTTCCCAATGTGGCTGCAGCCAGCCAGGGGTTACTTTGCTCCCCCTGTCTCCAGCAGCTGCTCCTCCTCCCACTCCTGCCCCTGCTGTGACCCTCTGGGTGGGCAGCCTCCCTTGGCCCTGGAAGTACTCCTTGGGGGTGGGGGAGGGGTGGGGAGAAAGGGTTTGCCATCTTGAAACTGGAAAAAACAAAACAAATAATATACAAAAAAAAAATCAGGCATCTACTATAACTTATTTTAATTTTATATAAAAATATTTTTGTCCCAATATGTCTGTTTGTAGTGTATATAGAAGTGATGACATAATAGCTCAAAATACACTCTAACTTTTGTGTATTGTGGGGGCAGTGTGTTTGGGGAATGGGTGTGGGGGAGGGAGAGGCTGGGTATAGAGGGGTATGGGTGTGAGATACATGGGTATGGGTAGGGTAGGGGTGGGAGAGTGTGGATGTTTGAAGGGGGGATGTGTGTGGATGTAGTGGGGGTGTGGAATTGTGTGTGGGATTATGGTGGGGCAGCTTCCAGTGGGGCTGTTCCTGGTGCTGTTTTAGCCAGCCAGGTGCTGCTATGCTCCCTTTGCCTCCAGCAGCTGCTCCTCCTCCCACTCCTGCCCCTGCTGTGACACTCTGGGTGGGCAGATGTGGGGGAAGCTTCAGCTGGACAACTCCCACTGGAGGCAAGGGGAACCAAGCAGCACCCTGCCAGCTGCAGCCCCACTAGGAACAGCCCCACCAGAAGCTGTTCACTGGCCAGGGCTGGGACCAAGGCTGGGCTGGCTCTGGCTGCCCTGTGTGGGGCTTGGCCACATGTGGAGCACTGCAAGGGCAGCTACAGACCTCACCACCCAGTCAAGCTCTGATGCATGTACCGCACCCCTCCCCCTGCCCCGTCCCTGTCCTCAGCTCTGATTGGCTCTGAACCTAGCACCCAGGCAGCCCCCACTTTACACACATGCACACATGCCCCCCCCCCCCCCCCACACCCACAACCACACC